TAAAATCTCCAAAATATTATAATATAATTGCAACGTATAGATTTGGTAATGATAAGGATCAGTGCCAAAAGCGTTAAGGCGAAATGATGTGCATATTTTGGTCTGTAAAACAGTAGGATACCACATAATCTGCTACTGGGCAGTAAATGGCGTTGTTAAATGTTTTAAATGCAATGAATGTTCATAATAAACAAGTTAAGGTTATGGCGACGGAATTATTGGGATTAAGGTTCCTAGTGGGGAAGCTAGAATATCCGTCATGGGGATTCAGGATTTAAAAACTAAAAATGAAATAATACACAGCGGGTAGTCTGAAAAAATGAACAAAGACAAATGAACGTTTGGCAGTGACACTAATGCTAATCCTATGAATGTCATTCGAATCGGACCAGATTTTTAGAATTTTAGAACACGAGTCTCAAGATGTGACCGGAAATTGTTGAAAAGGTATTGAATGTTCGTTTAAGTTTTGCATCTGGGTTTTGGTAAAGGGAACAGATGCCAAAGCTATTGGGTGGTAACCATCAAACTAGAAACCGGAAGCTAATTTCAATTCCTTCAGGCGTTTAAATAGTAAAGGCATTTTATTTGAAATTTAATAGCAATATCCGATTTTCTAGAGGAATATCGTAAATATATTTAATTTGCATGAAATGTGGGTTCAACAACGTACATAGGACGTTTACCGAACGTCCTTTTTAATGATACACACCAGTTGTCTCTTTTGATTAAAAAGCTTAATGATTTGATTAATTTACTATGTACGGATGTGGACCATGCATCGGGATATCTTAAATTATTAGCCTAATAAAGTAATAACTATATAACGTCCAATATAGCTCAATTATTACCTTCGTGTTTGCTATAATTATTTGCCAAGAGTATACTATCCACATAAGATATAGATACATTGTTTCCAATTAAATTAAGCAATAAAATTTGATTAGGTTTACGATATGGCAACAGGTACTCTTTCCAATTATACCCGTTCATATGTTTGCCGTGTGTATCTTAAACTTTATGGTGCTATAAAGAATATGACGTAAGGCAATTGACAATAATGTCGCCATCAACATGTCGTGCTGTACCGATATGCAACTATGAAATAATTCTGAAATTACGCTAACATACAATACAACCATAACACAAAACCTCTTTCTTTGTAACTTTGTAAGCATGCCCTCGACAATCATCAAGTTCCAAATTCCGCAGGTACATTCAAACACCTTTGTACAAATGTTTTGAATTTGTTGTGTAAAATGTTGCGTTTATCGCACGTAATATCTAAACACCTTCCTGACTTCACGTTACGATTTTACACTCCAAAACAAACTGACTTGCAAACTGTTAAAATCAACTGTAATGTTTTACAAAACTTGCAAAATAAATGAATGCTAATACAATGGAAGTAATTTCAAGGTGGCAATTTCCAGAAAAGCATTTCCTTAATTCGCACTTTTGCTATAGCCTAAGTTCATAATGTTTCCGATTAGGTTTGAACTGCGGAAGGAATTCGGATGTTGCAAAATGAAATACCTCACAGTGATTACGTGCCTCTTGTTCTCAGCTATGTGATTTACCTTAATGGTTAGGACAATTTAAAAGTTAATTAAATCTTTGGGTATACTAGGGGGGTCATGTCACACGCAGGGGTGCCTTTGTATTCTAATTCACGGACGTTAACAAGTAAATAAGGTTACGCCAATGTGGAGAATTAACAGGTACGGTATAGGTATATTTGTACTATAACAAAAATATCTTGTGCTCAAATTGTATGTATCAGGAAATATTCTACATTCTAAATAAATATTTTTAATTTTTGTATACAGTTAATTGAATTTAAATTGTGTTTTACATCCCTTATTTTTGGTTTATAGTAAAAGGTTTTCGAATTATGATAATAGTAAGATAGGAAATTTGAAAAACTGAATAAGTTCTATGAAAACAGTCAAGTGACAATGTCCAAATTACAGACAGCATGGTACCTGGGGGTCGTGTGACATTAATTAAGAAATTCAATAAACCCAGTGCCGTATGCGTACCACATGTGTATTAGGCATATTATGGGAAGGGGTTGTATACCTGTAAGGGTGCAGTACCGGATAATCCTAATCACCTGTCAATTGGCTGTGTTAATTGTTAATCCCATTGTTATCCCACCACATGATACACATTTATGACTTTCTATACCTGACTATATAAGTTTACTGCAAATTCCATTTGGCATCATTCACAATCTAGTTCTATACCTGTTCATATCGCTCTCTTCTCGTGTCAGTGTTTCATTAGTTATGTTAAGTTCTGGATCTAGCTCTTAGTTTAATTCCATTAAGTGTTTACGTATTTTCTGCAAACATGAGGTGTCCATCTACTTCAGGTAGGAATTCAAATCATTTTTTCTCTTTAACTGTATCATGATTGGTCTTCTACTTCTGCAATGTTGGCACCAAGGCACAAAAATAGGAAAAATTTGCCGTTCGAGCTCTGATAGATGAGTTTGTTCAAGTCATTTTATGCTACTAGAAAATTGTTATTCTTGTAATTATACGCTCGTCTCAAACTCACTGGAGATCCTAATAATTGCCCCATCTTTGAACTGTGTTTGATGAGCAAACATTACTCTATTGTCACACGTGGCTTTCGTCGCAGACCTTCTAGCTTCCTTGTTAGCTATAGCAAATAGATGGTACTCCATTTTTCTGAAGGCAAATATTTTTCTTGGTTGATCCCTGATTTGAAAAATAAGATAGTATAGTCAAAACAGGAAAAAGGGCGTTTACTCGATTCCACGAATATGGTCTTTCGTTACGTTTCTGTAGTTACTAAATTTCGTTGCCATATTTGAAATTCGAATTTAATATGATGAACATCAAAGAAAAGTATAAAATAATGTTTAGATTTCGGAGATTTCGTTTCTGTCACCAGATTGCAAAATTCCCAACATCAAAGCGGTTAGATGTTGGTCGCCTATCGTTCGTGTTGACTAACGGCCTGGGAAATAGCAAAACAATTACGACAGGTCATTAAAATTTCTTTAAAAATTTCATATCATTTTGATAAAACCATCTTGACCATTGCTGACCCCGCCGAGATTAAAGAAATGACCAATATTGTTGATATGATGGGTGCTAACAGATTAGTTACATAGGAACACAGTATGGGCGACAAAACGAATGCCCCCATCATATAGTAAGAGTAGATGACCATAGCTACATTCGATTCTGTTACCCCCTAATGTTCACATCAAAATTGACCCCCTAGTCTAAAATCCAATTGATAGCAGCAAGTGTTAATTAATGCCTCACTTTCTTTGAAACTAAATCTGGGCCACCCCAATCCAATAAAATGCTAAGACCATTCCTAAAAATACTCTTGGGTCTCAGAAGGAATTTAGTCTGAGCTTGGAATAACATCATGCGATCTTCTGGATGAAAGGTCTGTTTATTTTTTTAATAACTCTAGACGATTTGGCTGTTCTCTCGATTTGTTGCGTATGTTAATGTCTGCTATTGTAAATTTATTGTTAGGGGAAATTTGTTACATTGGGTCGACATATAGTTATGAAAAGAACAGGTGCACTGACGTTAGGACAAAATACAGATATTATGTTTTCATAAAGATTTTCATGGTCAAATTGTTGACTTCACTATAATTTTCCAATAACTTTCTGATTTTTCACATGGATTCCATTTCTGAACTGACTGAATTTACCATTACTTTGTCTCTGTGTTTGAAATTTGCTCTTGCGTCAAGTGACTTAAATTATCCCATTAGCAAACATTACAATGTGTTTATTGAAATCGATTCTGTAATTCAAAATGCTTGATGTTTTCTGTTTAAAATGTTTAATTGTTGAAATGAAACATTTGAGACGTTTCAGAAATCATAAGGGACATAATTTGACTAGTGGAATCGTTTTGCAACGTATTCCCTTTAGGATATTAACTAATAGTACAATGACGTAACGTGAACGTTAAACAAATTAACGTACATACGTTTAAAGGTTTCTATAATTAATTCATTACGCATGACTGACATTTTATAATTAGATATAGTTTGAAATATCTACACTGAAAAAGAATTCGAATTGACAGGTGCGAATAATAAAAAAATAATTTTCATTTTCCACCTGTTCGTTCCGCGATTGCCATTGGTCAAAATAATGTTAAACAAGTTATGAATTTAATTTGGTATATCATAATAAAACTAGTGAATAAAACGTTAAAATAAGTTCATATACACCTCAATAGTCTATTGCAAAGTTTATAGACTTCTATATTGTTATCAATGGATTTGACAATGAAATGTCTTCATAAAGGCACAATTATATTATATATGTTAGAAGCAATAAAAATTTTTGTCGTTTTGACTGAATCCCTCATACGGATTTAAAATCGAAATTTTGAATTTGTTCTTCTTTGTTAATGTTTAACGTTATGTTTTGAATATTAGTAAATCTTACTTAAGAGTAAATTCTACATAGCTGTGGCACTGAACTTAATTAGAGATTAGATTAGGATTAATTACATTAATCATTAACTGAGTAATATTATGAATATCTGATTTTAGTACTGCGTTCTCTCCCACCCCCTCCAAACAACGTTCATGCTACAGTCCGTTCTTGATTCTAAAAATGAAAATTTAAACTAAACTATCCGTTTGATGTTAAATGAAGCATATGTCAAATTTTAATGCAAAAGGCCAGCAACATGCATTAGTAAATTAAATAGTGCTCACTGTGCTAGATTGAGCTGATAATAGATCAATCAAACTGCCAATCAAGTCCAACATGGGGGGATGCGGCACAATAACACAGTAATCAAGTTAAGGTGTCAGCTGTATTGTTATTTGATTATTAATATGCCAAACATCATTCTACGCTCTGTCATATTTTTGATTAAAATTTCAAACCAAGCTTACTCACTAAGTTAGATATATATGGTAGAATTTCGTATGTGGAATTTATTTTCCATCTGCAGTGCTATTCAATAACTTACAAAATGGTGATCGATTTAAGCGAAAGTACTCGCAAAAAATATACTACTTCGGGTAAATAGACATTTTGGTTGCAAGTATTACGTAAAACTCATTTCTATATCGACTATTTAATAGTATTCGAATTCGAAATTCGTTTAAATTTAATTGTATTTAATGTATATTTTTTTGTATTTTTCAGGTCAATTGAAGGTGTCAGCATATATGAATTTTGGTCTCCTGACCGTTCATGGTAAGTAGCATACCCAAACTTCCAAAAATTCAAACTGAACATTCGAAATATTTCGAGTATGCTTTGTAAGGCATAACAATGTATAATTTTCAACAAAAAAGTGTTCATGTAATTGTAATTTTGTAAGGTATAGTTTATAATATTTTTTTCAATTTTTCAGTCGTTCAAGGAAGAAATTTCTCATCCAGTTGGAAGCCATTGTGTGATTCTTACATAAAAATGTCTTTGGTGCCAGATGAATCCAAACGTACACGATGTAAAACAGCTTCAATCTTAAATACCAACAATCCATTGTTTGATGATAAATTTTCATTGTAAGTAAATATAACAATATTTAGTCATTTTTCATTGCAAGTAAATACAACAATATTTAGTATTTTTCATTGTAAGTAAATACAACAATATTTAGTATTTTTCATTGTAAGTAAATACAACAATATTTAGTATTTTTTAAGTGGTTACTCGTGCTTGGGATTATACTTTTAGAACATTAATGTCACTCAGATTTGTTGACAAACCACTCAAGCCTGAAAAAATAAATTTACCAATAAAATGTGGCCTTTTAGGAACAAAGATTATATTTTTATTTCAAATTTGTGTCACTTAAATTTGTTGACTACCCACTTAAATAAAGAAAAATATGTTCAGTAGAAAATTGAAGGTGGAAATTGTTGCCTTTGCTTTAGAAATCAGTGTCAATTAAGATATTTAGGTAGCTGTTTAAGCATACTTGTGTCACTATCAAATTTATTGATTCAAGATCAACCAGGATTTATGAAGATCAACTAGTGCACCTGTTCTGATTTATATTTTCAAAATATTTTGATTTCGATTTTTTTTTAATTATTGGAAAGTAAACATATGAAAATGTCATCAACAATAACTCTGTATTGGTAATGAATAAGTTAAAAATGCTTATGTCTAAGTATTTTGGTTTCTTAAGAATTTGAAATTCCCGCCAGTTTTTTAAATGTAGTTTTTGTACCTCTTTCAGTGAGATTTTAGAAGAAGATCATAATAAAAGACTTCTGATTTCTGTCTGGCATAAAGATCAAAAGAGCGGGTAAGTTTCAACTTTATTTCATTAAATCGTCCATAATGTACGTGGATTAGCGCTTTGGAAAATTAAGTCACTATGAATTAAACGGGTTCATTGAGTACGAAAATTGTTCTGTATTCGTTACTGGTATGATAAGTGGCGACTGGGTGCAAAAATTGGCAAAGGTCGAGATCTTCGAACAATACCATCAAAGCTGATAAATCTGTAATTGGGCCGAGACTGCTAGAAAAATTAACTAATTCGCGGGTTATAGGGAAATTACATAGATTGAAAAGTCTGTAGGACAAATTTTAGACTAGTGTTTTGATAATGATAAGTGACCAGTGGTCAGCGAGGCAGAACACAGTGGGAGGTAACTGTCAATATATTCACCAGTATTGACTTTGACCAATTGACAAGCGACGGTAATCAATTAACACCTAATCCAGCACTACTGTTGTATATATACCCTTGAAATCCTCAACAATACCATAACCCACTTGCCTTCAGTACAAGTAACATCGGATTACAACATATCAATTCATGTTTCAAAATGCCTAAACCAAAATCTCCTGTTATTTCCAGCCTCAGTGAATTTCTTGGATGTATGTCTTTCGGAGTTAAACATTTAATGAATCCCAAAAAAGAAGTCAATGGATGGTATTACCTCCTTACAGAAGAAATTGGCCGCAAGAAACATTTACAAATTACCAAAACACAGAAACCTGCCCTTAAAACCAACAGTAAGTTTTCACTTTATATCATTATACGTATTGACAAAGAATATCACTTCAAAGGATTCCAATATTTAAAACATAAAATTATTATTTGACAGTTCAAAGCACGAATTAGGATCATTAAATTTAAATGTTTTCGATTCTTACAATGTTGTTCTCTATTTTTCAGCTCAATCCAACATTCCTCAGATTAACAAAGATGTAAAAGGCAGTGAACCAACAACTGTAATGATGTACCGTGGTAAAAATGGATTTGGTTTCTCAGTTGTTGAATCTTTCCCAGTAAAAGTTGGCCGAGTTGATGGTGGTAAGTAGAAAAGCATTTTTTTTTTATTTCACACTGCAAAAATAAAAATGTCTGATATTTTTGCATTTGAAATGGTAACAGTGAAATTTATGCATTATAATATTTTAATTTTGTGATTCTTATTTTTGTAGCTTCCCCTGCTGAAGAAGCCGGTTTAATCCAAGGAGACACAATTGTTAAAGTTAATGGTCAAAACGTATCTAGATCTACAGCCGTGAGCGTTGCTAAACTCGTCAAGTAAGTCTTCTAATCTGATTAATCCTACGATAATCTACCTTAATCTATATTAGTAAACAGTGCTCGCGTGCAGATAATCCAATAATCCAATCTTGTTCTTGAATATCCATGAGCTTGTTCGAAAATCCAGACATTCCATAAACAGAATGATTAATCCAATTTGAATAAGCACAGGCTCGAGATCGGGCTTCCTCCAAAATACAGACTTACCAACAACAATGTTTTAATTTGTTATTTCTTCTTTGCAGACGTAGCTCCAATAAACTAGTCCTTGATGTTCAAAGAATAACCGAAAATTCCACAAATAATACTTACGAGAAGCCAATCAGACACAACAACAGTCCCGAGCCAATCTATGAAAGCATCAACAGCTACGCCAGTTACCCTTCCCAAGATTTAGACTCCACAGACGGTGATATATCCCGAGAAATGATTAGAGATAGTGAAATATCTGTTGATACTGATAATGCTTTCCTTGATGATCCTGAAGAATTTATGCCTACCAGCACACCTTTACCTCTTCTCTGCAATGGCCACAGGGTAAGCATATATACTTTAATGATTGATTTTAATTTTTAATCTGAAGCTGCATCTTGAGAGTCTTACGCTTAAAATCTGATCCTATATACTTGGATCCATACTTATGATCTTTTCTTTATATTCCAGACTGTTACCAGTGTCAATGAACAACGTAAACAAGAAGCAGTCCATCGTCTCCTTTCCCTGGAATTGGATTTCATCGATTTCATGCATGCTGGTGTCCAAAGATATTCCAGACCTCTTCGTCACTGCATTCTTGCTGCCCAACAACACTCCAGCCTCTTCCAGAATGTCGAGAAACTAGTCACCATCTCCGAATACCATGTCAAACAGATGCAAGACAACTCTCCATCCTTCTACTCCGACGCCGACGATACTCAATCCAGTGATGGTCATTTCTTCCACGTTATGGGTCTCATCTACCAATCCAAACTCCATATGTTATGCCAAGCTTATGAAATCTATGCCAATGGTCTCAGCAACGCCAACGCAGTCCTATCCGACCTCAAGAGAAATCCAGACTTCGTTAGATTCGTCAAAGAACCAGTCCTCACTCAAGGTGTACCCAGTATCAGTGCTTTCATCTACCGTCCCATCCAACACCTCAAAGAACTCCAACAGTGCCTCCAAGATATCTTCAACAATACATCCACTGATAGCGAAGACTTCATTACCCTTAAGAATGTTGTTGAAGGTCTCCAAGAAAGTGTAAACAACATGACCAACTGCAGCACTCGAGTCCACAGCCTCAACTCTTTATCGTCCAAAAGAAGCAAAGGTTCAGCTGGTAGTCTTGGTTCCAGTGGAAGCAGCTCCGGCTCCGGAAGCATGAAATACGGTTCTTCATCCAGTGGATCCAGCTCATCTAACAAAGTACCCAACTCCTGTTCCATGCAGACCGTCAGATCTGTTGATGCTGAAGTTATGAAGATCCAAGATCGTCTGGTTTTCGATACCAACATCCCAGTATTCCAACTCTGCCAGGAAGAACGTCATCTTATCTACCGTGGTGATACATTCAAATGGGAAGGTCAACAATGGGTTAAGATTCATATGCTCCTGTTCTCCGATGTACTCCTTCAAGTTGAAAAGGACAGATCTGGTTTCATGAAAGTTATTGAAGAACCTTTGTTCCTTCGAGAAATCTGTGGAGTTGAAGCCAACCGCAAACATGGTAAGCATCAATTCTTTTACAAATCTCATTAGTGCTTAACCGAAAATACTGACTTGATGCATCAGCCTTCTTAAAAAGTTGCCGATACAATATTAATCCTGAATAAGTTACTTATGATCTTTTCTTTTATCTTTTCAGCTACTGAATTCTTACTTCATACTTGTCCACGAAGCCCCTGTACCGGTCTTCCAGCACCAAGACGACTAGTTTTCTGTGCTTCAACCACCGAAGAGAAATGCGTATGGAAGAATCTTTTGGAACAACGAGTCCACAATATCCGAGGAACCATTACCCAATACAGTAGCACCAGCAGTGATAACTCCATTTCCAGTGTTATCGTGTAAATTTCCAGTGTTCACTATAACACCCAGTGTTCTGTTACCGTTGACTAAAAGTGCTTACACCACCCTTAAAGCGAACAATGTTTAAAGACTGATAAGGGTGTGCTAATGTTATCTATATATTTATATTTAGTGCTGTAAATGTTATTATTTGATTGGAACATAGTGCTTATCCTTACCACTGATCAAATATGAAATCCCATTGTTACCTAGATAAAGACTAGAATGATGATGCTATATGCTATAATGATAACGGATGATTATGCTATAATGATGGATGATTACGCTATCATGATAATGGATGTTCATGCTATAATACACATTTTTGGTTCCTTCATCCAAAGATAACCAACGGAATGGACTCATGTAACGTTTACTATTAAAACTTTGTGGCAAAGTGCAATTCAATTTTATGTATTAATTCATGTAGATATACCAATGTATAAATTATATTGTTACGTTATTGGACCGACTCTCAAACTATCCCATCTTTTGTACATTATCTTTTCATTATCTTATCTTGGCTTTATCTTTTGTATATTCATTTTCGTTTTCTACCAATTGTATATAGTCTCTGTAGACTTAGAAGTAGTGCAAAATGTATGTAGCAAAATCTATTTATATCTTTGATTGTACAGAATGAAATGATGAAATCAAAATTGAAAAAATAATATTTGTATTTTTTTTTTTGTATGCAAAACGACCACGAAAATGAAATGAAGGAACTTGCTTGCCGTCACTTCTGTCGGGCAATGTGTCACACAAGCCATCCTTGTTTGAATATGCAGATTTCATTTCCTGACAGTTCTGATTTAAAACAAAGATCTAACTTGGATTTGAATATAGCAATAGTTTGCTACACTTGTGCCTCATATCGCCATCCTGGCAGAGGTGTAGGATATACCTACCAGAGGATTGCATGAAATACGGTTCTTCATCCGGTGGATTAGCTCATCTAAAAAAGTACCTAACTCTTGATTGCTAAACTTGTGCCTCATTGGGAGCTCTCTGCAGTGACGGAGCCAGGTTTACGTTCCTGGGCGAAATATCTGAGATTGTCCGAATTTCTAACCTAGTTAGGACATGGAAACCTCTTTCGAAATGTCTTTAAAATTCCTAAGTGTAGCCAGTTTAATGATTTGTGTTATGCTAATATGAAGCTTATTGTTATAAAAATTATCAGTTTACAATATGCGTGATATAGTGGGATATTTTTAATTGGGTACGGAGAGACATTTTTTCATTTGTATACACTATATCTTTACGCTTCTATCAACCTTAGGAATCAGCGAAGTCTGTAACGTAATTTTTATAAGCTGTTGTTACCGACATTTTCTCTGTGGCTACCAATTTTCAGAGATCATTAATCCACTTTTGCTTAGTCTATCGCGCTTAAAATTGTAAAATCGCATAGGAAACCAATCGTTTTTAGTTACTGTAGATCATAAGAATAATTCAATCTAGAATCAAAACACATAAATTAATAGGTAGACGGTAGTCTGGAAAAGTTGCGTTTTTCAATCAAAAATTTAGGTGTAAACCCATGAAATATACGTGAGCCCACTGCCAATAAGCTTCTTTCAATGATAGCCGTATTCAATATCCATCATTGCTTGTGTAAACAAAATCACAATCGTGGGTGTAACGATCAACAGACACCAGTCTGCAACAGGCGTTCAGACAATCAACTTAACCTTTTAACAAATCCAGTTAGTTTTTCGCAGTTTTCTTAACGACGTCTAGACGTAGAAGCCATGTTTAACAGTCAAACTACGCTTGATTTTAGTATTGGAATTATTGCTAAAACAATAATGGTCCTTCCCAATAATGAACCCAATTTCTTGATCTTTTCACCATTCAAGTTTAATGTAATTAAACAAATCTATATAGACATGCTAAAAGACTTCATTCAAATTTTTTATAAATATTGGAGATTTATATTGCAAAAATAGCCAGCCAATTGTCAATTTTATCTATACTGAAAACAATTATATTGGTATATTTTGTAAATATTACGTTACGTGGATTCAATTATTGATTTTAATAGATGATATATTAGTATATGGATTGTTTTCAATACAATGATGAAACTAAAATAATACGCTTTAAAACTGCTAATAGACATTGTTCGGATTTGAGTTCGGATCTAGGTGAAATTTTTCGTTCAAATAACCTGTGCTCTCGCATGAGTATGACGTTTATATTCTTTTATTACTTTTCACTTCAAAACAAGAAGTTTCACAGGCCTGGGGGAGAGGGGTGTGTGTGGGTGTAAGGGGGGGGGGGGGGGGGGGGCTCATGTCCCAATGCTTCAATTTTCCCCAAAAAGTAAATACGCTACTGATCACAACATAATGTGAAAAATAACGAATACGTGAGCTGTATATGAAGATTTTATTCAAATAATGTGAATTTCAGCAATACAATCACTGCAAATCGATTTTTTTTAAAATTAAGATTTAATCAAACCATTAAAATTATTCTTTTGAATCCTGCGCAAATTGATTGCAAATATTGTATTTTGGATATATTTAGGAAGACTCGGGAATATTTGAACATTGCAGTTAAATACACGTTATCGTATCGTGTCTATTTCCAATGTTTCGATTTAATAAATGGTTTGTGTCTGGGGACCTTCATTTAAGTTTGGCACAGAATGAGTTAATTATGGGTCATTATTGACCACAATGCCCTGACCACTGTCCACCTGTCACTGGCCATATCCTACTATCTTTAGTAAATAGATAACAACTGTCAAGCACCATATTCTAGTATTTCAAACTTCCAGACTAAAGGCATTAATTTCTTGTCATTTATGACGTGTTTGGAATCTGAAATTAACCTGAAAGTTCTTAATGAGTTGTCTTAAGAAAAATTCCATGTTGTCAAAACTGTTCGCAGTTAGGTTATGGGCGGTCATTGCAATGCATCCATCAATTTATATTATGTAGACTGGTTCCTGAAATCGTAAATCCCCAGTACCAGCCTGCATAAAACATAAATATTATCATGAATCTGTTGTAACCGACGTTGAAAAGTCTAGCTACCTAGACATATAAGAAAATCTCAAAAGCCCGAAGTTATACTTATTTCTGCTTTCAGATTAAAAAAATGTGTTTTCATTACTCTAACTATAAATTAGATAAATCTAAAAAATAAAATTTTACTAAATATTGTTAAAAACAAACAACAAGAATGAATTTTTGTGGTCTGTACATTAACACGTTGGATTTAAGTATTTATATACAAATGTGCCATATGTATCATATTGTTACACAATTTACAAAGATATTTAACAAATCAAAACCAGAATGGATGTATAAAGGTGAGATGAGACCCAATTCTCACATAAAGGGTTTGAAGGTGAGCAAACATGTAAAATCCCAGGAAGAAAATAGGTTGTGATTTCTCTTTACCACAACATTTATCTTCCGCCTAATTTGAAAAACTTCTCGAATTATGCACGAACAGGACCAGAATACATGCTAATTAAGGCTATCTAATTAAATTTAGATTGCTGTCACAAACGACTGGTTGCCCGAGGCCAGAAATAAACTCGTTTATCACGTAAAAATAACCCAGTAATTGCTGCTTGTCATTTGATGCCGTTTGCTATCTTTGGACACGATATGGGCCAACGACAGAATTCAAATTATTACAGCTCATGGCATTTTCGACATGAAATCTTTCGCTAATATCCGCCTATACGTCATTTAAACTAAATTTGTTATCAGGTATAGATCTAAATTGTAATTTTCTTGCATTAATATATATTCTAAGTGAATGCATGTCCCAATACGTTTTTTCTCGGTCGTCCTCGAATTTTTCCTCCTTTAATTTTCGTATGTAAGCTAGTGATATTGAGATTTCTGGGACAGAGAACGCAAACAAAGAAATGTTGAAAAATCAATGAAATACCTGATATATTTGGGATTTTAAGTTGCTGTTAAGTACTGCAACAAAAGCACTGGCACAAACATGTAGGCTGAACCCCAGTGATAGAGTATTTTTAGTGCAGTTAGTTTGAATAACATAATTATAATACAGTTGCGATTTTAGTCATTAAGAGTTATCATTCTTGCTTCAAAGGACGAAACCGTGTCCCCCATAAAAACAGACTATTTTTTTCGGGGCTCTGCATGAGAATCTGATATTTTATTCTTCTATGACAAATTGTATTTCCTTCATTGTAATCTAATATGATGTCGAATAGTATGTAGGATGTAAAACTCCATTTCAATTCAGACTTGTTACAGGATTGTGCGCCTCTTTCCTGGTTTCCCCCTGTCAGTGATGCAAGTAAGAGGGGCTGACAAGGAAAAGTGTATAGTTCGAATGGAACAAAAAAAACGAGGCCCCATGTGCTATAGGCTGTGTACGTTAAAGATCCCCCGAAAATTGGAAATCGAAAAAGAGTAGTCTAATGCATCTGCCCTGGCAAAATTTCATTCAGCGCACTCTGTATGGCTTCGCACAAATTAGTCCACATGGTGCAGAAAAGTAGAACGTAAAACTCCACTCATTTCTTTTGAGCTCTTCCCCATAACGTACTCACCAACTTTAAACTATTTATCCTCTTCAGTATAGTTCAATAAGCCATTAATCACCGATTCTTTATGTTGAATGAGATGTTAAAGACCCATTATCTTTTAAATGATATACAAATAAAGCTTTTTCATTATATAATTTGACCACTTGGGTCACAGAATGCCCTTAATACACGAACAAACACAATCCTGTTTGATCATTATGCAATATTCCTCCTTCGCCCTTACATTAGACGGTTTGAATATGACTGTTATGTAAATGCTGTACAATTTCCCTTTTGATAGCTTTGTAACATTTAGCGTAAAATTTTCACCGTAGCTTTCAATCGACCAGAATAAAGAAAAGATTGTATTCCACCCAGGAAAGTTGTCTGGTTAAGAAAAGGTTTGTTTTAGAAATTTGCAGACCCATGACAGAAAAATGATTTTTGGAATGCCCCAGTTACAAGAAAAGTT